GCGAAGGACGTCTCATTTGGTGTACATGTTTGGATTCCTCCCTCTTCCCATCTTATCCATGCATCTCATCCTCGTGTCCTGAGGAGACATGAGGAAAAGAATGGCTGTGTTTACATGCAAAGATTTTTGCCAATCTGATTGAATACATTCCGATTATAGATGAAGACTGAGGTGTTTATGTTCACTCTGCTCAACAATCTGATGAAAAACCTCTGTTTACATGCACACCACAAGTAATCCGATCCAAAATGACACGCATGTGTAGAGTAACACTTAGTGTAGGCGTTACCATGACAACCAGCATCAAATGAGTCCAGTCAGAGTGAGACGAGCAGCAGTGAGCGGTGCTTGTGTTTTTAATTACTTTAAAATGATGTCAGACTCAGGAAAACGTCCTTCACGTGTCCTTATTAAAGAAGGCCGAGAGGAAGACGTTGTGTTCTGAGACACATAAGCTGGACGTCCGTCCCACCGCCGTCTTTTAAAGCTCAGAGCGTAAACTTCGTCTCCTCTGCAGACCAGTTTCTGCTCCGCCATGTTGAACGTTATAAACTTTCACTATGACGCGACGAACGTGATAAGAACGGACTTAAACTTTCCGATAGGGAATGTAATCAGATACAGACGTTTACATGGTTATTATTCTTCTATTTAATGGATTATTTACAGGATTACCCACCTCGTTCACTCGGATAGAAATTGTATTCTGAGTGGTCTCAATCTAGGGGTCTATTCTATTCCAATTCAGCTATTAGTTATTAACTGATTATTGCACTGTAGAAAGTGGCTCGTCAGATCTACTTCATGTGGTAACAAGTAAATGAACTAGTTCTATTCAACCTAAATAAATACTTTGAATGAATGATTCTTTCAATCAATGTAGTATTTTAAGTTGAATAAGACTAGTTCAATTACTTGTTACCACATGAAGTAATTTTTAAAGTAGATCAGACGAGCCACTTTCTACAGTGTAGGCTGCATGTAAACGTGGCTGATGCGAGGAAAGGAAATGAGAATGAACAGTTAAAGATATGAGCATCACCCACAGAGGCAGGTTATGCTTTAAATGCATTGCACATCGGTTATTTTGTTTGTGTAAAGACATACAAGTAACACGACACAGTTCATCTCAAGTCAGGAGCTGTAATCTGAGTGCAGGAACTCAAACTGAAAGCTGAAGTTGCTCTTTTTTGTTATTCAAAAAGGTAATCACATTACTGTCATGTGTTACTTTGTACTGCGTTACTCCCAACACTGATGCTGACAGCTATACAGTACAGCAGACTCATTCCCCGTCCTCCCTAGAGAGCAAGCGCTGTATAGATGTGTTTGATTTCCAAAAGTGCACACAAACCAGCCCCGCTCACCTCGTCCCTGGGGAGCCCAGCTCACGCACACACGAGCAGCAGCGTGATTGACTGAAGGGGTAATGACTGCAGGCTGTACGTTTTGTGTATGGTGAGTTTGATGGAGCAGATCTGATGGGCTGAATTAATATTAAATGATTTGGCTGTCTCTCATCTTGCCCTGCTGTAATTCCACACCGCTGCAATATTAACGAGTATCTCTCTGGCGCTCGCTCTTTACTCATTACACAGCTGCTCGGCTGAAAAGTGATGTGAGCCCTGCTGCTGGAAATGGCTGAGTATTGCTGTTTTATTGGCTTTGCTTCATGTTCTCTGTAGGCTTTGATGCGCTAATGCGCAGCAGGCTGCTGAATTACTGAAGCTCTGATGCAGTAATGTGATACTGTGTGTGTTTGAGTGGTCAGTAGAGAGCCTTCGTAGACTAAATGTTCTTACTGATGTTTGTTCATATGTAATCAGATTGTGTTCAAAGCTTGCAGTTCCTCAGCCATAGAAACCCATTTTGGAACCAACAGGACCCTCACTGTCCTCCCCTCGTGTAGTGAGAAGTGATTTGGGAATTAAGGGAATTTTTATTTTTTATTTTTAATATTTTTTCTTCCACACTAGCTATGTTTCCATTGACCTATTGCTCAATTTGCAAGCAATGAAATGAAAATATGCAAAAAAAAAATTGCAATACTTACTGCCCAGCAGCTTGTTTCCATCATATGTTTTGCAATAAAAATTCTGCAAATATATATATATATATTGTTTTTCACTGCAGTCGTCCGCTTGAGGGAGACAATATTATAGTAAAATACTGACCATGTTTGCGATAATCGCATATACAGATTAAACCAGTTATAATAGTCTTTTTAGCAGCGGTTAAACCGGCGAAGATTTGTTATTTTTGAGTTAATGTAATGTGAGACATGGATTCAAGCATATCAGACAATGTTGACAATATATAGTCCCAGAATTTGCTCATCTCAATCTCAATCTCAGTGCAATCCCAAAACATGCAGGAAAGTGCCAACAGGATCTGCTTTACAAACAGTACAATAAGGTGTAGGAACCCTGCCCCTCATAGCCTACTAAAAAGGACATTTTGTGTATTTTATTTTCTTTTTTATTTTATTTTATTTACTTTTTAACTTTTTTTTTCATTTTCAGCAAAACTTACATGAGAGATGATGTTTCTCTGCCATATAGAGCTGTTTGAGCTCTTCCCATTTAGAAAGGCTGTAGTCTTTTCGGGACATCTCTCTCTGTTAGAGTGGAAATGTATCAGCATTCCTTTTAAAAGTGCTCTCATCTCCTCCTCAGTGCAGCTCTACCTCTCCAGCAAGCTGTTTGAGTATATTGTGCTTCTTGTAAGGGTATGTAAGGGGAATTTGTCACATACCACTACATTTATGCAAAAATGTGCTATTCTTTCCAAAAAAAAAAAAATCCAAAATAGGATTTTGTAACATGTCAGGTGTTCACAAACACCTTTTTTCACCAAACAACTTTTTTCTCTAAAGCAGAGCTAAAAAGTTTCGTCAGCATTCGCTCATTCAACTGTGCCACTGCTCAAAATCTCAACAGTCGTGGACGTATGAGTTAGCTCCCATTTTATGAACAATTCGACCAAAGCAGTTTGTTTAGCACAGTGAGGCTAAATGCAATTAAAGAGGATTTTCTCTGATTTTTCAAAATTTCTACATAATTCAACTGTTACAATATAAACAGTTCTGACAGTAGAACAGCGCAGTTTACATTAAGCCACTCTGAATGACTTTCTTATATATTAATAAATGAATAACGAAGAAATTTCGAAAATTTAATGGAATTTCCCTTTAACTCCTTAAATAGCCATAGATCACCGTTGGGCCCAAAGCTTTATTATACACTTCTATAACCTAAGAATACCTCAGCCAGTTTGCATTGAAGTCCCTGTAGTTACTGAATAATAGGTCTTAGTATGTAATAAACCTGGCGTTTTAAGGGGTTAAATAATCACGCAAAAAAGTGACATCTTGTTGGGCTTGACCAGGGTTTGGCAACCCAAATTGTAGAGCCATTTTGTCCTTTCAATAAAAATCAATCCACCTTGGGAGCCACAATATTTTATGTCCATTTTACCATCTTGGTTGTAAATAAGTCTCAGTATGTGCTGATGTTCTAATATAGGCAAAAAAAATAATATAAATGAAAACTTACTTTGCTCTGCTTTAAGCTTCAGCTCAGCTATAGCTGCTTTTCTCGCATCTCCAGCAGGAAACACTTCCTCAAAAGTAGAACAGTTTCTCATAAAATGTCTCTCAAGGTTTGATCTTTTACAAGGCTGAAGTCGCTTCTCTTTCGCCAGCTTCTTGTTCGAATTTTCCTGTTCCACCTTAAATGGTGGCACCAGAGTGTAACTGTTGCATCATTTAAGGTGGAACGGAAAAATTCAAACAATAAGCTGGCGAATATGAATCTGACTTCAGCCTCGCGACTTTTTTGACTTTTGACAGTTTCTCCTTGCAGATTAAACGTATCAGGAAACCAGCTGGAGTGATTATAAATGCAAATAAGTCCATTCGTCTCTAAATTATTGATGCTACTAGCTAGGCGAGATTGTTATCGTTTCTATGGTGACCAGCAGTCTGCGGGCCAACCTTCAGGGTTAAAGGCTGAATTAGCAATCATAGGCTACATTAACTGCAGCGTTATTGTTAAAACTGTGTTGAACGATCAGCAGAGCTTTATTTTACTGTAAAGGAGGATTATTTTATTATTACCTACAAATCTAATTCTGCTGTGGAGCCGCAACAGGGCAGTAAAAGAGCCACCTGCGGCTCCGGAGCCACATGTTGCCGACTGTAGGGCCAAGTTAAAAGCGCACAGTATTTCTGGATGCCTTAATCACCATTTATGAACTGAATGTTGAGTTTATTGAAATCTTTAGCTGAAACGAACAGGTTTGGTAAATTGAATTGGACTTCTACTCTCATCATTCTTATCTGAAGGAGAACTGAAGGGCAGTGGGCAGGAAAAGGAGGGGGAGGGGGAGGGCTGGACAGTGTTTTAGTAAATACAGGCTTGGCTTCGAGCGCAGTAACTGAATCTCCACAGTATAATGGAGTCTGTGGCACACACACACACACACACACACACACACACGCATAAGCACACAGTCATTAGGAAGAGCTCTCTCTCCTGCACTTTAGTGAATCAATCAGCAGAAGTGCTGTGAATTGTGGGAGCGCTCGTCCTGCCCCTCCTCCAAACACTCCCTCGTTCATCTCACTTCACATCTTCTGTCACAGCTGTCACGCTTTATTAATATTCACTGTAAACACCGCACCTCAACAACAAGGCTGCGATTATTCAATTTTCGGCTTGTCTTCTGCTGCTGTTCTCGGTGCGCGTGAGCGTGTAGTTGAGACCTTCTCTTCTCCTTTCATTGTGTCGTACGGATGTGTAAGCTGTGAAACGTAGTTACTGAATTAATGAATAGATGAATAAGCGTGAGAATTAAGAACAGATAACCGCATAACAGTAATTACCGGTGAATGATCTGATTACCTCTCCCTCTCACACAGAGCTCATTAGTTGATTAAGTCATGGATTCATCAAGTGATTGAGCCGCTGTCTGATCTCTTTATTTCAACGCTGTTTCAGGCACCTGTCACGGTCCAAACTGAAGGAGCTGATCCGAATCGCGCGGCCTTTCATCAAACGAGCCTGCGTGGTCTCTGTATACGTAAGTGTTTTCATTATAATATTGCTTTGCATATTTATGTGAACTAGTGAAGCGCCAGAATTAAAATTCCTGGCTGAACCAAGACCAACATTCAAGACACAGCTGGTCAAAACCATAAAAAAAAGGTTTTTGTTTTGTGTTTTAAATTTGCTGTTGTATTTATGTTTTTGAATCAACATACAAAACATGAAAATGACATGATAGTAATGAAAATGTACTTTTATTATTGATAAAATCTGCTTTTAATAGGACAAAACTGAACTGAAAAAAACATAAAATAAACATAGTATTATATGTAAATGATATAGTATGTTACAGCACGTAATCCAACAGAGTACTTTGGTCGACTAAAGCAATGAATTCCTTTATGTTTTTTATTTTACTTTGAACTTTTACTTTGTCATTTGTGAAATATTTTTCCATAATTTTAGAAGCTGAGGCTATAGATGACGTTGGTGTGCTAGTGGACACTGGTGTGAGCACTGTCATAAGTGCTCTACTGGTATGCCACAAATTCAAAAAGCTCAGTTAGCACGACATAAACACTGTAAACCACGCTAACGCTGTCTTCTTTACTCAAAAAGTCAATGATATTTCAGTTACATTTCAAATGAAAACACAGCAGATCCTTGATCACCTCTCACTATCTAGAGCAGGTGATTTGTTAAGTATAAGATTTTGACACTTTGTTGTAGTCCTGTTGAATCTTTTGTATTTTTCAGCCAAATTTTTTACCTTTTTTTTCTTTCAGCCAAAAACTGAAAGTGCCATTTTTGCTTATTTTCAGCCAAAATGTTTTGGTGGCAGAAATTTCGGTGCACCCCTAATATGAACAGTTACACTTATTTATATGAACATTTTTATGTTCGTTTCTGTTTTTTTCTGTAGGTGCTGTTGATCCTCTCTGCTCGCTTGTGGCTGATGGGCGGCTCAATGCCTCTGTTCTCAGAGCAGGACAATCCTGCCTCCTTCTCACCCTTCCTCCTCACCAGGCAAGCCTCGACAGTTCTGCCCATATTTATCTCCTCATACAGCGTAATTCAGCACCCATACCCTTACACAGCTTATCTAGAACACGTTTACTTACACATTTTTAGCTGGAACCCACATCCTCATCCCCAGAAACCCACAAACACCGTTTTTATTTGCCAAGATCAAGATGTACACATTTAATTTATCTTGGTGTAACGGTGGCAGGCGGAACCAGACACTTGCAGCAGAGGCTTGGATTAAGATCTTTAATAACAGTCGTAGAGCCAAAGCAGACAGTCGAAAACCAAAACGGCAAAACAAAACAACGCAGAAACAGCGAGAATCAGTCACAAACAGAAAACGGGTTATACACAGCTAAGCAATCAGAAACACCTGGGCGGCTCCGTTGGCAGACGTTCCAGCCAGGCCGAAGGGGGGCGTGACACTTGGTAAAGGAGGCAACATGAATTCTAACAAGACTCCAAAGTTGATTCATTATTTTGTATGATTCAGAGAATTCGTTGAATGCAAAAACGTGACTAAAGGAACTATTTACATAGTAACAAAAATAGGCAAAATAATAGGTAAATAGGTGATAGATAAAAATAATACACCAAGCTTATTTGTGGATTTTTGTTTTTTTTTATTATATATTGTTTTAATAAATTCTAATATAATTATAATAATACATAAAATGTAACATTAAAGTTACATTTATTTATAGTTTTTATTTCCAGTATGTTCCAGTTTTCAATTGTAGTAAACCTAACAAATAAATAGAAATTTGGCACTGAAATTAGCAGAAAAATACCATATTTAAGTGGGTTCTATGTAGAGCACATGTTAACTTGTATTCACTTAGAAAGTCAATAAAATATGTAATTTGACCAAGAATGTTCAAAGTCTTGCATACAGCTGTATTCTTATATAGGTTAACTAGATTCTATACAGTTTTGTGACTCACGTTCGTTTTATTTTTCGTTTTAGGTTCCTCACTTACTGTTACCTTCTGGCCTTCAATGCCTGGCTGCTACTGGCTCCCATAGTGCTCTGCTATGACTGGCAGGTAACATATTAACTTCCTGTCACATACACACTTGCTAGGAAAAATATAAATAAAAAATCATAAATAAAAAGGTTTGTGAAGAAACCAGACAAGCTCATACTTAAGTAAGCCATGATTATGTTAAAGGCTGTTAGCCCAAATGTAGCTGATTGGAGCTATGAAGCTAATGACATACATGTAAGCTTGTCGTATTTTGAATGATAAACAAGCCGTTTACATGAGTCGTGTAGATTTGATAGATAGATTTTTGGAAAGCCGGTAGAGAATTCTCTTACCTAGCCGCAGTTCACAGTAATTTATTTGGAAAATTCACAAATACAGTGTTATTTTTATGGGCCAACCACATCTCAGATTTTCCCAAAGAAGCAAGTACTCATTTGCCCTTATTTCGCCATATCGCCAAATGTTACAGCAGCAAATTTGTTTAAAAGTAAGCACTTTTATTCTGGTGTGTTGCTACATGATATTCTACAGTTCAGCTATCTAGCAATCTAACTTTGCTAACTTTGACAAAATCGACTTAATGGTGAAGTCAGCCGACATTAACGTTAACGCAGTCGAAAGTATTTGGGAGGACTCATTTAGCTAACGTACTTCAATGTGGGGTCATAGTGACACTGATAAATGGTACATTTTCAGAAGAGAGCATGTTATTGCGAGTGGTGAACCAACACAATCAGAGACTGCTTCCCAAGTGGCGATGATCGGGGTCCAAGCACTCCGCATTATAGGACTTTTAGCAGAACACAAACAATGGGCAATTTTTTAAGAATGGCCTCTAGTGCTGTGGAAGTCCAAACACCTAGACAACAATACAATTTTTGACTTGCTGAACTAAATAATTCCACAATTTCTTTGGTCTCACTTAATTTGGATAGTCCACTATAGTCCCCTAAAGATTGTCTACAGGTGGTCAAATTGTTAACAATATCCACTGATACTCAATTAATTCTAAGCAGTGGTGGGTTAGGGTTAGGATTTGGACCAGAGTGAGGATTGGGTTTAGGTTTTGGGTCGAGGATAAGGTTAGGGTTAGGATTAGAGCCATTAGTAGATATTCATTAGTATTCTTTAGTAGATTATCTAGTTGAATGTAACTTGAAAGTAAATTAAGTATCTATAAAGCATCTAAAATGGACCATCCAAATAAAGTGTTACCATTTCTTTCCCTGTATTTTAGTCACCAGAATGCTTGATTTTCATGTTACAGTCACTAAATATTTGTCCTGGGTACAGTGCCCCCCAGTCCCCTCTACAAGGGGACCTTTTTCACTGCCTGTGAGTTGTGCTGTCTGTAGTGAACAACAGAATGTCAGAACCCATGAAAAGCAGATCTATTTCAGAATACTTAACAATGCAACACAGCTTTAGCAAAGTCTGTGAAGATTTAGGCACGCAATTAATGGCGTGATGCTAATTGGTGGGGTATGAGCCTCTATTATGTGTTAGCTACATTAGCTTTGTAGGTCCAGTGTCTCCAGTGTAAAACTAAAGAAGCAAACATTAGACAGTAACCCTGTCTTGGGTGTTCACCTGCTGTCGGGGGAAGGGGTGAAACTGTGTTTTTTGCTCATTTTGGAACTTCTTACCTGATTAGCTCTGATTGTGGTGGTTGCAGGTGGGCAGCATCCCTTTAGTGGAGTCTGTGTGTGACGCACGTAACATTGCTGCGTTGGTGTTGGCACTGGGCATGCTCGCTCTCTGCCTGCACTGTGTTACATCACTACAGGTGAGTAAAACAGTTTCTGGCACCACACATGTTGGAACATTAGAAAAACACAAACATTACACCTTTGGCACAATCCCCACCTTTATGCTTCTGGACTTCTGGGATTTTTTTTTTTACTCAGTATTTGTTGCCGTACTGAGTTTTAGGGATTTTCCACAGTGCCTGCGTAACAGAGAAGACAGAAAAAGCACAGAAATGAAAAACCATCATTTCATTTAGACACACATTATAGGAACTGTTGTTGGGTCATCAACCACAGCATGACTAAGGCTATGTTCACATTACAAGCCTCGTTGCTCAAATCCGTTTTTCGCTCAGATCCGATCTCTCTGACACGATGGTTCACATTCGTTTAGGTAAGTGATTCAAATCTGTCATTAATGTAATGAAATGAAATGACCCGCACGCGCACATCCTACTCAGTAACGTCACGTGAATGAATCACGTGCGTCATCAACAGCAAGCAAACGAACGAGCAGAACGAGCTTCGCTGTGAAGATAATTAACTGATCAGCTCTCAGCTTCATTATTAGAGCGAGACGAAGGAGAAAAAGGTGAGATGTGTTGCTTTTCCACCGTTTACAGGCTTTAACTTCTGTTCAGCGCTGTTGCCATGGTAACACTGAATGACGGCGCACACACAGTGGAAAAAAAAACGAAAGGAATTCCGATCTGAGCGTCACATTAAGGTCGCATGGCCACGAATCGGATACGTATCCGATCTAGGACCACATATGAAAGTGACTCAGGTCGGATTGTCCACACAGCTCTGAAAACATCAGATCTGAGTCACATTAGGGAAAAAAAAAATTCACTTCAACCTGGTAATGTGAACGTAGCCCATAATACAGATTTAGAAATTCAGCATTTCTGTGATTCGATATACCCTAAAACTGAGAAGAGATTGAATTTCACACATTGAATTTCAAAAGAAGAATAGATTATAAAACGTAGCATAAAATATAACATAAGAGAAACATCAATTAAAAGAATGTTTTATCCAGAGAGAAATAGAGAAAAATGATTTCAACAGGTTAACACGTTCCACAAACACACAAAACCTCACATACAGAGGCTTAACTAAGACAAAAGAAAAGATCTTAAAGAAGAAAAAGCTTAAAGATCACCAGGCTGGAGAGAAAGATAGTAGTGTGGGTGAGAGGACCCCCAAGTGTGCCCCCCCCACCACCACCAACACACACTTGACCAAAGCAGTTATAGCTTTATGCAAATTATATGTAAATGTGATAGTCTGCATATACAATTGCAGAAATGGATTAGACATAGCAGTGCTGCTGGAGTTTTTAAAACACCTCATTGTCACTGCTGGACTGAGAATAGTCCACCAACCAAAAATATCCAGCCTACAGTGTCCTGTGGGCAGCGTCCTCTGACCACTGATGAATAACTAGAGGATGACCAACACAAACTGTGCAGCACCAGATGAGCTATCATCTCTGACTTTACATCTACAAGGTGGACCAACAAGGTAGGAGTGTCTAATAGAGTGGACAGTGAGTGGACACAGTGTTTAAAAACTCCAGCAGCACGGCCGTGTCTGATCCACTCAGACCAGCGCAACACACACTAACACACCACCACCACGTCAGTGTTACTGCAGTGCTGAGAATGATCCGCTACCCAAATAGTACCTGCTCTGTGAGGGTCCATGGGGGTCCTGACCACTGAAGAACAGGGTAAAAGGGGGCTAACAAAGTATGCAGAGAAACAGATGGACTACAGTCTGTAACTGTAGAACTACAAAGTGCACCTATATAGTAAGTGGAGCTGATAAAATGGACAGTGAGCGTAGAAACAAGGAGGTGGTCATAATGTTATGCCTGATCGGTGTGTGTCCTTCTTTCTACTTAAGAAAATATTCTCTGTTACAAAGAGGCAAATTTGATCACAGGAGATAATCGTTGTCCCTTCACTGGGCAGTATAAACATGAGTTTATGAGCCACTGAGCTCCTCCTCATTAGCGAGTTTGTAGGAAATAGCAGTGGGGTCAGATTATTTCACACTCATCTCTCACACATACGAGGTGTGAAAAGTATTATTACAGTTAGTAACTATTTAAAGCCTTAAAGCCTGTATTTATCCTTTAACAAGGTCAATGAGATTGACTGCTTTTATCCCTCAAAGGGACTGAAAATCAAGAGATGTTCCATTCTAGCCTGCAACAGTTTAATGAAAGGCTTTAAAGGCAGTCAAGGGTACATTCTTGAAAACAAAGGTGCCAAAAGACACTTTTGATTCCCTAAAGAATCTTTGAGTGGATGGTTCTCTACAGATCCATTACAGTAAATGAATGTGAGTGTGAAGAACCTGCGGCTGTATCACAGAAACTTCCTATCTTTTTGTCTTTAGATCTGACAGGTCGAGATAAGATTTTTCACAAATCCATATTACAGAAGCAAATCTTATCTTGATTTAGGAATATTGTCTTATTTTACAGCATCTTGTCTCAAGTTAAGAAATCGTAACCCTGTACTGCCCGGTGTTGTCATATGGCAACAATTACTTTATCTTAGATTTACTGAAAAGCAGTAATATAAAATCTGTGTTTTCTTATTTAATTGTGGAAAAAGGGTCTTTTACTTTGAAAGGACAAATACTTCTTGACATCACCTGACCAGGATTTTTTATTATGATGTTGTAATTACCATACATTCCAAATACCAATTGAAATTGTATTAATTTCCAATATTTGTACGTTTCACTAAGTGTAAGTTGGATTTGTTTGTTGTTGTTTTCAATAAAAGGATGTTTTTAGAGAAAAATAAAATTTTATGGTGCTTTTTTTTTAGATTTTATGGTGCTATGGTACGATCACACGTTGTTGCCAAATGGCAACAATTTACCAAGTAACCCACTAATTTTTTAGAAATAAATATTTTAATAATTTCCATTATTTAAGCCATTTCAAATAACAAAAACACATTAAAACATTTGATCATGTTTAAATAATAATTCGTGCAGTAGAGGGTCAGCTTACTCAATCGAAGTCGACAATCAACTGTCATGTTTGTTACCTAGCAACCAACCATACATGCACAGCTAAAACGTAAACACGTAATCAAACTAATCAGGCTAGTTAGCCAGGCAGCTAACGTTAGCTACCATTACTGAGGTAGAAAAGGTCAAACAAAACTAAAGCATGATAAACTGAAAGAATTGGGTTATTTCTGTGGTTCGTTTTGTAGATTGTGTTACAGGTTTCATGTTGGGCGAGCTGCGGTGTGTGTGTATGAGTGTGTGTGTGTGTGTGTGTGTGTGTATGAGTGTGTGTGTGTGTGTGTGTGTGTGTGTGTGTGTGTGTGTGTGTGTGTGTGTGTGTGATGTACATTTGCATTCTAGCTGTGGATTTTTTTTTATCTGAGCAGTGATGGAAGAGTTGCCTGCCTATGCAAAACTGTCAGCTATCAGTCATCTTTGAACTGCTTTCAAAACGCAGCACAGCTGCTCAGAAGTGTGTGTGTGTGTGTGTGTGTGTGCGTGTGTGTGTGTGTGTGTGTGTGTAGCTGCTAGTGTTTTAATGCACGTTTTCTCTTCTGAGGTCCTGAGGGGACGTGCGTTCTAGCCCACTATCTGTAGTTAGCGGTGTTGTGGGGAAATGGTGGGTGTTCATAGTGTTTGGGTCTTGTTCTCTGATCAGCAGATCTCATATCCCCTGCTTGAATAATTCATACAGTGTGTCTGGCACAGGCTGTCAGACCAATGTCAGAAAGCTGCCAGTGGTTGTGTGTGTATGTGTGTGTGTGTGTGTGTGTGGATCTGACTCGTGACTGCTTGCTTTCATAAATACTTGCAGTATTTCAGTGATGGAAGAGTCAGATTTCACATTCTGATCATGATTTATCCACTGACTGATCATTCATCCTGTTATTTGTTTGTGGTTTAAAACACGGGAATAGAGTTTGATATCAGGTGGAATCACAACACTTGTTTCTTTTTCCAGCAGGAACGATTAAACATAAATGTATATTGTTATATATGTATTATTAGGGGAAAAAGCAAAAGAGAAAAAAAGGCAGAAAAAAACAAGCAAAAATGTTTGTTCCATTCACTTTCCTGTGTTGGTCAGCACAGGTGGGTTCAAACAGTTCGAGCAGCAGGGAATCAACAGTGAAAACCGTGGCTGTTTGGCTCTGTTTCAGAGTTTCAGTGAGCAGCATTAGACAGTGATTTGAAATCACTATCAAGAAAGAGTACAACACTCAAGAACTTCTGCAGTGCAGCTTTGATAGCCAGACACAGAAAGGAATGTCCCTGCGAGCAAGCAGCCATCTGTAACCGCATGCGTTTTGATTTTAATGATGAAAAAATTCACATTCAACAGAGCCAAAGAGAAAATCTATAAGTAAAACAGTATATATACGAGAGTAAAATCATATTTTAATAATAAAATCATAATATTTTGAGAATAAAGTCATAATATTTTAATAATAAAATCATAATATTTTAAGAATAAAGTCATAATATTTTGATAATAAATTCTTAATATTTTGAGAGTAAAGTCATAATATGTCAATAATAAAGTTGTAGAATTACGACATTAAAGTGGGATGTTACCAGAACATAAGGGTTTGCAAAAGGAAGGTAGCAACCTCCTCTTGTTAAAACGAGGGGCGTGGAGTTGGTAGAGTTATACTTTCATAACTATTTCTCCTATAAAGAAATACTCAGTCTTCTAGCACATCAGCACCAGAGTGTTATTAGAAATGGCTGCGAAAGAAACTGTGTATATTTACAATAAAGAACCAGACGGACAGGAAATTGTCTGTTTTGTTGAAGGAGAATCGCAGACACAGTACAGTAAAGTATGGCAAGTTTATTCTTGCAACTTCACAACTTTATTATCAAAATATTACAACTTTATACTCGAAATATTCAGTTTATTCTAAAAAAATACTTTATTTTCAAAATCCATTATTTACATTTTTTTACCAGTGGCCCTAAAACGCTGTTATACCATTCACTGTTGTTGAGGATGCTGTATTTTGTGGCTTATATTGTAGCCCACATACTGTAATAATCTTATTGAGATTATTTTATATAAACTGCTTTTATTTATTAATCAATTTATTTACTAAATTATTTTACTATGGATCACTTTAGCTCAGGGTGAAGTTTGAGACATGATGATATGTTTAATCATTGTGAGGTCAGTGATTTAAACCCCTAATGTTTGATATACAGCAGCCTCTTTATTAAAGCATATTCACTATATATAGATTGATAGAGACAGAATAAGGGAGACTGTAAAGGAGGAGAGCAGGAGAAACAGAGGAGCAGCGTGGCTTCTAGAAGGTTGCTGGCACTAGCTTGGCCTAGTGGCATTTTGGGATGGACTACAGATGACCTCTGTCTGTGCTGCCATGGCAACAGATGGTGGCGGGCCGAGGCAGAGGGATAATGCCAAAACTGTCTTTATCATCATCATCATCATTATCATTATTCGCAATATCCCAGCACTGCCCCTCTAATGGTGCACATAAAACATCAGGCTTTGTGTGTGTGTGTGTGTGTGTGTGTGTGGCTGTGGCTGTGGTCACATCACATTAATCCACATGTGTAACAGCAGCAGCTGTGTAGATCCTGATCTGACCCCTACGTCGCCATGCAGAGAGGGGATAGATTAGGTTCAGGAAGCCAAATCTATTCACCGGCCTGATCAGCGAGCCTCACTCACTCACCCCAGCAAACAGATCATCTGCATCCCTGCAGCTCAGTTCCACTGAACGCTGACCATTTGGCCCCATTAATCAAAACAGAATCAAAATCAGAATCTCCTAATCCTTGTAAATGTTGCTTTTTAATGTGTTTAGGCTTGTCAGTAGCCACATTTACATGCAGACTAATAATCCATTAATAATCTGACTAAAAGCTCAATTGGAGTACAACACGTCCATGTAAACACCTCAATCGGAATAGGCTGGTCTAGTTTAAGCCATTCAAAATATAATTTCTATCCGATTGAACGAGGTGGGTAATCCTGTAAATAATCTGTTAAATAGAAGAATAAGAACCATGTAAAAGCCTGTATCTGATTACATTCCCTATCAGAAAGTTTAAGTCCGTTCTGATCATGTTCGTCACGTCATAGTGACAGTTTATAACGTTCAACATGGCGGAGCAGAAACTGGTCTGCAGAGGAGACGAAGTTTATGCTCTGATCTTTAAAAGACGGCGGTGAGACGGACGTCCAGCTTATGTGTCTCAGAACACGACGTCTTCCTCTCGGCCTTCTTTAATAAGTATGCGTGAAGGACGTTTTCCTGAGTCTGACATCATTTTATAGTACCTAAAAACACAAGCACTGCTCACTGCTGCTCATCTCACTCTGACTGGACTCATGTGATGCTCGTTGCCATGGTAACGTATACACTAAGTGGTTGTCTACGCATGCATGTAATGTAAACTGAGATTCTCCATCAGATTGTTGAGTAGAGTGAGAATATAAACACCTCAGTCTTATTCTATGATCGGAATATATTTAATCATTGTATTAGTAATTAAGGAATGTCCTGAGTGTTTTTAGTTCACATATCCCATGTCTCTCTTATGTTTCATTATTTTTTCAGGTCCATTTATGATATTTATGTGGTTTTACGTAAAAAACGGTCGTCATTCATATTTACACAATTTTCCAGCCACTCTTGATCTCTTAGAATTAAACAGTGTTGTTACTGTATTTTTAAGACTGATATATCTAAATGAGCTCTGTTCTGATTGGCTGCCTTGTATTGTATCTCATTCAAAGAGCACTCAAAGCTGAAACTCTCCCTATATCAGCGGTCGGCAACCCAAATGTTAAGAAGAGCCATTTTGTCCTTTCAATAAAAGTCACACCACCTTGGGAGCCAAAATAGGCTGTAAATATGTCTCAGTATGTGCTGATGTGCTAGTATAGGCTAAAAATATAATGTAAACAAAAATGCAGACTTACTTTGCTCTGCTTTAAGCTTTAGCTTAGCTATAGCCGCTTTTCTCACATCTCCAGCAGGAAACTTTTCAGCAAAAGTAGAGTTTCTTGTAAAATGTTTGCTAACGTTCGACTTTTTATGAGGCTGAAGTCGCTTCTCATTCACCAGCTTCTTGTTCATATTTGCCAGAATGTAACTGCTGCACTATTTAAGGTGGAACGGGAGAATTCAAAAGAGAAGCTGGTGAACGAGAAGCTGGCTTCAGCCACATGACTTTTTAGTGTTTGACAGTTTCTCATTGCAGATTAAACATATCAGGAAACCAACTGAGTGCTTATAAATGCAAATAAGTCCATTCGTCTCCAAATTATCGATGTTCGTCTTAAATCTTTGTCTCTTCATTAGCTACTGGGCGACATTATTGTCTACATTGCTATGGTGACCCGCAGTCTTCAGTCTTCAGGCTTAGGCATGAACTCCTGCGTTTAAGACCATTTAGTGTTAAAACTGTGTTGAACGATCAGCAGAGCTTTATTTCACTGCTATTTTACCTAAATAACTAATTCTGCTGTGGAGCCACAACAGGGCAGTAAAAGAGCCGCACGTTGCTGACCCCTAAACTAAAACTTCAATGTGGATGGGCGGGGCTAAACCGCTGTAGGCTGATTAAAAAGATGTATGTAAATGTTTTGGGTTTTGTGACATCGCTAAAACATTGAATTCAAAACAGGCTGTTTTTACATTATAGCCTGTTAATAGCCAATAGAATATGTTAGTATTATTCTAAAGAGGTAATTCATTTAATCGATTATATTTATTTATTTATTTATTTATTTATTTATTTAAGTTTATTCCAGCAGTCATGACAGCCCTGCTTATTATTCTTAAATTTGAATGCTGGGCAAAGGGTGGAGCCCAATCTTCCAGTTACTATTTTGCGGGTTAAAACTTTCTGGCAGCAGGTTTGGGTGAAGTGTTCCTTTAAGCCCTGGGAGGACTGATGTAGCGTAGAGTGATCCATTTATGCATGTACTGATGTGCTGATCCGTTCATTTATGCATTCTCACCAGCTGCTTTTCAGAAGTGAAGACTTTCACACTTCCTGTGAGTCACGCCTCTGCGGAGAAGTCTCAGTGCCTTTTCCAGCTGGAACTTTTCATTTAAATGTTTAAAGAGAACAGAATATATTTTATCTGCTCATCTTCTGTACTGGAGCAGTGATGTAGTTACAGTTAAAATGGGGTTATCAGGGTTATTAGCTGATCACTAATTACTGATAATGACTGTGATATTATACCTGCACTGATTCTCTCTCACTCTCTCTCTCTCTCTCTCTCTCTCTCTCAAACTCACTCTGTTTTTCTCTTTTTTCTTTCTCTGTTTTCTTTATTTCTCTCACTGTTTTCCTTATATTTCTCTTTTTTCTTTCCTTCTTTCTATTACAATTTATTTTTTATTTCTCTGTCTTTCATTATTTCTGTCTTTCTATCCCTCTACCTCTCTTTCTTTGTTTGCTTTATTTCTCTTTATTTATCTCTTTATGTCACTCCTTTCTCCCTTTCTTCCCTTGTTTTCTTTATTTTTCCTCTTTCTTTCTCTCTATTTCTTTCTGTCTTCCTCTCTCTGTCTTCTTTATTACTTTCTCTCATTATCCTTTATTTCTCTCTATTCTCTCACTTTCTTTTTTCATGCTTTCTATTCTCTCTCTCTCTTTCTCTCTCTCTCTCTCTCTCTCTCTCTCTCTCTCTCTCTCTCTGTGTAGAAGATGGAGGGCAGGGAGGTGTTGGTGGGGATACTGTTCCTGGTGTTTCCTTTCATTCCAGCCACTAATCTGTTCTTCCGTGTGGGCTTCGTGGTGGCTGAGAGAGTCCTCTACATGCCCAGGTTTGTTGGTTTGTGTGACTGTAACCTGATCTTTCACCGAACAACGACAGTGAAACTCTTTTCATGTGTTTTATTGTTCCAGCCTGTGTTTTATTGTTGATTTATCTTTAGACCTCTCCACTTACAGAATAGATATCTTCTAAATGTCCCACTTCAGCTCATTTGGTCGATTACCTGCCTGTTTCTAAATGTCTCTGCTCTTCTGTCTGAGCTTCTGCTTTATAACCACAGTCCTTTGTAGCATCAGAATCAGAAGAGAACACTTTACTGTCTATTACAGAAAATGGAAATTTGTCTTTAGCACTGGCATCAAAACTACTACAGTGTACAAACAAACACCATAAAACTATAAATGAGATACGATTAGCCATAGATCTGTGAAAAAGCAGCAATGGTGATGACTCATTATGCATATGAAAAGACAACAATGAACAGCTTCACGACAAACAAAATGGACTTTGAATAAATAAGTGTACAGTAAGGGATTTCCTGAAGAAGCACATACCACATTTTACCAAACATAGCATCCCCTTGGAATTATAAGGTTCTATCTGAGATTTTTGTTAGTCACATATTCTTATTCCGTGACAACCTTAACATTATGTGTTTTTTGAGTTGTTTTCTTTATCTAGAAAAGCAAAAAGTTCTATCTCCAAAGTCAAACTCTAACTTAGTTCTATAAGGTTCTATCTGCAAGCAGATCAGCACTTTCAATACACACAAGAGGACCAATCAGGTTCTGCTCCTTGTCATGTTGCCACACTGCTCAGTGACTGTGGGAAAAGTTTATAAAACTTTATGAAACATGAAAACATGTTGCTGAAACACTACTTGTCTTCTTACAGCTCTTTAAAAAATCTTATTGTCTTAAATGTTATGAATATTAAGTCTTAAAGGTAATTAATTAGTATACATTTGCATTGGTGGGATCTTAATTAGAACATAAACAATAATTTCATTCGTTCATCCATGTCTTCTTTTTCTTCTTTCTTCCAAAAAAAGACATTTTGGTGCAGTAGAGTCAAAATTTCCGATATAAAACAAAACTTCATACCGCCTTTAGACTGACCAGCTACACTTACGTGCTGGGACAGTTTATTACAGTAGCTGGTTGCTGTCCAACCTGAAGGAAACTTTAATGGTTTCTGCCTAAAATATTTAGCACTGATCTTTATACTTAATCTGCAGTGCACTTTAGAATTAAAAAAAGGATGATTTGTCCAAAAATAAGAAATGTCATAAACAATACATTCATAATATAAATAAATGTATGAAAATGTTATAAGAAACATTGAATGTAACTGATACATATAAACACTCTGTTATAACACTAACTTTATGTTCTAAAATAAATCACAACTAAACTGTTTGGGTTTCTTGAAAATCATCGCTTCTTTTCATGTTTCTCCAGATAGAACTTTATAATTCCAAGCAGGAAGTGAGGTTTTAGGATTAGAAGGTTCTGCATTTGACCTGTTCCAAAAAACCCATTTACAAATCTGACAGGATTTTGATATTTTACATTTACAATATATTTAAGATGTCAGTCATTTTCATGTGTGAAAGAGACATTTTCCACTTATCAGTTTTGCTATTTAGAATGCAAAATCTTTGAAGCTCAATATCTCAAAACTGCTCAGAACACAGACAGAACCCAATAATTCCAAGGGGACAATGCATTTCAGTACATTTTACCAAGTCTTACCCATGTTTCACTCGTGCTGCTCTCACAGCCGGCACTCAAAGGCTTTTCTCTCTCTGTGAAAATGATTCTAAGCGCGTATTGGAAAAAGCTTTTTAGATGTGTCCTAGCCCATCTCCTTTACTGCTGTTCTTTGCTCTACAGGGATTTTTTTTGCTGCCTAGTCCTGCATGAATTCAGGCTTTTGGCTTTAGCACTCATCCCTCTTTTCTCCCTCCCTTCCTCCCTCCCTCTAGCCCCTCCACTGCAGGGATAACACACTGCTGATAGCAGAGCCTAATCTGGCTCCACTGGGCTGTGTTTCTGTGCTTCCCAGGAAAGAAAAAAACATGTAGCTTAGTGAAAGAGAAGTTCTCAGCCTCTTCCATTAGGGCACCGTTAATCTCCAGCTATGTTCTGTTTGCATGTGTGTGTAAATATGCGTAATTGTGACTAAGTGTAACAATTACACAGTCATTTAAACAGTGAGCCGTGACATTTAATGAAAGGTCATTGGACGATTTTCTCATTGACGGTGATGGTAGCGATGACCCTGAAACACGGTCTCACTCACACAGGGTAACATCCTCCCTGAGGACATGATTGCTAATGAGGGATTTCTGCTGAGGGTATTTTATGATAGCCTTTGGTAGGGTCAAGCTGGCACTTTAACTGCCATTAGTGAAATTGTACACCCCAACAGTTACTGCTGATTATTCTACAGATCAGACCAGAGCTGTGGTCATTTGGACTGAGAGGGCATACAGTGGCCACACACAGATATTCTGTCAATATCTTCTCATTCTATTCCTTACTCTTTCTTTGTATCGCTCTCTGCTGTGGGTAAGGCCCGTTTCGCACATGCTACCTCTGCTATGACCACTACAGCTCTCACACACTGGCCATTCATTCATGCAGCATTAGATCTGCAGAGCAATGCGGCAAAACGGTTCAGCAGACACCGTTTGGATAAATAGTTAAATCAGTTACTTTACTCAGTAAAAACATATTTAAGATGAGCACAGTACATTTGTTTACACTGGACAGCTCTCTGACTTATTAGACCTGCTACTAAATCTGTATACAGCTCAAAATGTTTTTATTTGTATTTCTTTTGATAACAGCCATGAATTGCACTAAAATTTGCATTGTTAAGGTTTTGTTAGGTTTTCTGTTTCCTATTCCTTGATTTTCATAGCTTATGTAAATGTATCTTGTTGCTGGCATGTATTTTATTGATATTCAAGGATCCATAAGAGGTCATAAACAGATATCCAGTTAACTGCAGAGAAGAAAAAACAAAAATCATATTTCGTCTGGAATTAATGTAGATCTTTGACTTACCTTTTTAGGTGACAGCACCGGTGTTGCACAAAAACATGCAGAAGAATTCATTTCAAATAATGTCTTATTATTAAAAATAACCAAGGGAAATTGTTAGTCATTGGACGATTTATCAATGGTAGTTTGTCAAAGAAATATATTTAACTTCATTGTTTCCAGAGAAGCAAAGTATAAAATAATGCTCTCACGAATGCAAGCAAAACTTTCATGTTTTACAGTTAAAGCATAAAATACAACCCCATTTCCAAAAACGTTGGGATGCTCTGCAAAATATAAATAAAAACAAAATGCAATGATGTGCAAATCATTTCAACCCTATATTTAAATGAAGACAGTACACAGACAACATATCAATTGTTGAAACTGAGAACTTTTATTGTTTTTTTTTGAAAATATGTGCCCATTTTGAATTTGATGCCAGCAACACTTTTCAAAAAAGTTGGAATAGGGGCAACAAAAGACTGGCGAAGTTGTGTAATGCTTAAAAAAAACAGCTGGTGGAAAATCTTATAACTAATTAGCTTAATGGGCAACAGGTCAGTAACATGATTGGGTATAAAAAAGCATCACAGAGAGGCTGAGTCTATCAGAAGTAAAGATGGGGAGGGGTTCACCGCTCTGTGATAGACTGCATGAGCAAATAGTGCAACAATTCAAGAATAAAGTTTCTGAACATAAAATAGCAAAGAACTTTTGCTTTTCATCATCTACGGTACATAAAAACATTAAAAGATTCAGAGAATCTGGAGAAATCTCTGTATGCAAGGCCGAAAACCAGTATTAGCTGACTGTGATCTTCAGGACCTCAGGCAGCACTGCATTAAAACAGACATGATTCTGTAGTGGAAGTCACTGCATGGGCTCAGAAACACTTCTGAAAACCGCTGTGAACACAGTTTGTCACTGCATCTACAAATGCAAGTTAAAACTCTACCATGCAAAGACGAAACCATAAACAGGATTCAGAAACGCTGCCACCTTCTCTGGGCCCAAGCTCAATCAAGATGGACTGATCAAATCAAATTTGAAATTTGACATCATGGATGCTGCGTCCTCCAGGCTAAAGAGGAGAGGGACCATGCAGCTTGTTGTCAGCGCACAGTTCAAAAGCCAGCATCAGTGATGGTATGAGGGTGCATTAGTGCACATGGCATTGGGAACTTGCACATCTGTGAAGGGACCATTAATGCTGAATGATATATACAGGTTTTGCAGCTCCATATTCTGCCATCCAGACAATGCTAAACTATATCAGGCAAGAATAGGAAAACAGTTCACTTTCAAAACTGCATAAGTTGGTGTCCTCAGTTCCCAAATGCTTACAGATTGTTTTTAAAAAAAGAGGTGATAGAACACAGCGGTAAACATGCACCTGTCCCAACTTTTTTGAAATGTGGTGCTGATATCAAATTCAAAATGCACATATGTTTTTCAAAAAACAACAAAATTTCTCAGTTTTAACATTTAATATCTTGACTTTGCACTAAATTAAATGTATGGTTTAAATGATTTGCACATCATTACATTCTGTTTATATTTACATTTTGTACAACGTCCAAACTTTTTTGGAAACAGGGTTGTACATAAATTGTTTGTATTTAGATTTTTCCGTCATCCCGTGATTAAAGGCACCGAATACTGGCACCTCAAACAGTTAACCAAGTACTTGAGTACCTGTGCACATCCCTGATGGGTAACTGTCCCATGGGAGAGTACTCTAACCTTCTAAAGATAAGGATTGCTAAACAGTTCTTGATTTGGATTGGTGTAGAACCTTTACATTATGTGAAAAAAGATTATTTACACTTGCACATCTCATTAAAACAAAAACTTAAAAGAAACACTGAATGGTAGATTAGTGGACCAAAGTGGTTCTTCTGGCACCTTTATTTTGAAGAGTGTAAGTAAAAAACCCATAACTCAGTATTACCAAGAGTACATAACGGTTTGTGGGTGTTTCTGGACTTGAATGCAGACCTGACCTCTGGATCTGCAGGGCAGTGTGGCCGGACCTCTAGAGCATGCGTTAGTTTTAGCGTGGGTGAGATGTAGGTGTCGCCGAGGAAAGGGAGGAGGAGCCTTTCAAATATAAGTATCCTGCCGAGGAAAGAGGAAAGGCGGGGTAAGAGAAGAAAATGCGGAGACATCTAGTTGGGAGGGATTTAGAGTGAGGCCTGTAAGGAATGGTACTAGCATTTTATTTTGAGAGTCCAGTGCTAATGCCCATCTTGTCATTAACTGATTAACATTAAATATAATTTTAATCTAAGTACTGTGCAGAAGTCAGAGACCATCCTTCATTTATGTAATTTTCAGTCAAAATGGCCATTTAAGTACAAGTTATTGATAATAATGACATTTTTTCAGTATCTGTTCTGTCCATGCTTTATCTTTATTATAGCTTCCATTCCTTTCAGCAGACTTACTTTCAGTTTTTCAAAGAACTCTGCAGGGAAATTTTTCCACAAGTGGGAATGGGATGTACACTCTCAGAAATAAAGATTCTAAAGAAACTTTCACTGGGGCAGTACACCTCTTATCACTGGGGTGGGACCCTCAAGGGTACATCTCAGTACCTTTAGTCAGGGAACATAACTGAACCCTAATCCATTGAAATTATATTGTCTAAGCTGTACTGACTCCACACACCCCGTCTCGTCTCCAGGACTTTTATTTTACTGTTCTCTTTTAAAACATTACACAACTGGACCTTAACACCACTGTTTCATCTTTGATGGAACATTTACATTGTTTGTACCTTGATGAATCAAAAATGTACCTGCACAGAACCTTTATCTCTAACAGTGTATGTCTGGTTGTTTTCTGGTTGGCCCACCCTCTATCTCCATGGTTACAGAGGGTATGAAGATGATTGGACAGCGTCAAGCTCAAACTCAGTCTTAGAAGTTGGTTGCATTTTCTGCTTCTCACGATCCAAGCAACCCAAACACATTCAGTGATGTTGAGGTCTGGACTCTGGGGTGGTCAGTCCATTGTTCAGCTTCTTTGTTCGATGTGTCCGTCTCCTTTTCTCAGTGAGGTTCTTCTTAACAGCTACACATCCTTTCAGACCCATAGCGCTGAGTCGTCTTCTCACAGGGGAAGGATGGACAGAAACACCTGTGGATGTTTTCATGGAAATATAATACATACATAAATTAAGGGGGGTCTCTGACTATTGCACAGTAATTTAACGTAACATTTTCCTCATCCCAACACCTAATCCTGGCTGTAAGGTATAGGTCAGGGGTCAGCAACCCAAAATGTTAAGAAGAGCCATTTCGTCAAGTTTTAACAGAAATCTAACCACCTTGGGAGCCTCAACATTTTATGTCCATTTTATTGAAGTAACGTTTCACCATCTTGGCTGTAAATATGCGTCAGTATGTGCTGATGTCCTAGTATAGACAAAAAAAATAATATAAATGAAAACACAGACTTACTTTTCTCTGCTTTAAGCTTTAGCTCAGCTATAGCCACTTTTCTCACATCTCTGGCAGGAAACTTTTTCACAAAAGTAGAACAGTTTCTTGTAAAATCTCTTGTAAAGTCTCTTAATGTTTGACTTTTTACAAGGCTAAAGTCAGCTTGTCAATAGCCAGCTTCTTGTTCGAGTTCTCCCTTTCCAACATTAGCTGCTGCCTGAGGCACCGGAATGTAGTTAGCTATGTGGCTAACTGTTGCACCATTTAAGGTGGAATGTAAAAATTTGAATAAGAAGCTGGCGAACGAGAAGCTGACTTCAGCTTCACGACTTTTTAGTGTTTGATAGTTTCTTGTAGCAGATTAAACGTATCAGGAAACCAGCTGGAGTGATTATAAATGCAAATAATTTGTCTCCAAGTTATCAATGTTTGTCTTAAATCTTTCTCTTTGCCTTTTCGGTAGCGGCTAGCTAGGCAAGATTGTTGTCTGCATTGCTATGGTGACCAGTAGTCTGTGCACCAACCTTCAGGGTTAAAGGGTGAATAAACATAGTTCTACATTAACTCCAGCGTTTAAGACCATTTATTGTTAAACTGCGTTGAACGATCAGCAGAGCTTTATTTTACTGCAAAGGTGGATTTTTTTACTTTCACCTGAAAATCTAATTCTGCTGTGGAGCCGCATGTTACTGACCCCTGTTATAGGGTAAGGCGCTTTGACTGCAGTGGTTTGTATATCTCTGTTATGGATTGTAACCACAAGCTGTAGTGAGTGGGATGTACGTCTGATTGTTTCCTGGTTGGCCTACCCTCTATCTCCATGGTTACAGAGGGTCTGAAGATAATCGGGCCGTGCCAGGATCCGATCATCAGTTTCCTCTTTCTGGAAACGCTGGCGGTTCCATAGATCTTCGCCCAGATCTCACAACCACAGATACTCTTCACACAGCGCAGCCTGCGCAGTCAGCTTGTTATCGAGGGTTAATGTGAGAGAAGGAGGTAGAAGTTGGAGGAGCCCCACTCATATATACTCTACTTTAATGAGCTCTGGTTTTACCCTCTAATGCCTCCATTTGATTAAGCAGCTGATAGTGAGAACTCATGCACACAGCTTCATGCTCTTTGAGGATTTTGCTGTTTTTATAGTATGGAGCCTCTTGTCTCTGACGGCTGCTCTGTTTCTGTAGACTGGAGACTAATGAGCTCATGAAGTTAAGATGTAGCTCTGTGTGGGTTTTCTGGTATCTCAAGTATTTGATTCTCTCAGCTGTTGCAAATGGTCAATTTTCAGCAGTGCAGGACCTGTTTTATATTATAAACGGGGTAATATCAGTGAGACGTGCCCAGCAGCTCACTGAAGATATCTCTCTCCCCGTATCTCTGCTGAGTTGTGCTAATATTTGAAGTCACCTTAATGTGCTGTGTAGAAGGATTTCACTCAATACAGCTCACATTCAATATGTAGTGTATCTGTAGAGTCACCTATAACATATTCATTTTGCCCTGTCTCTCTCTCGCACACACACACACACACACACACACACACACACACAAACACACACACACACACACACACACATACGCACACACGCACACACACACACACACACACACACACATACGCACACACACACACACACACACACACACACACACACTTTTTCCCTCTCTCTCATCCTCTATTTCTGCCTTTATTTGTTTGTCTCTCTCTTTCTAACACAAACACACACTTTATCTTCTTTCTCGTTTTCTTGTTTCATTGTCTTTTTCATCCTATTTCTGTCTTTCTTTCTTTTACTTCCTTCTTTCTTTTTTGTTTTCTTTCTTTCTTTCCTTCTTTTTCTTTTTCTTGTTTTCTTTCTTTCTTTTTTGTTTTCTTTCTTCGTTTCCTTCTTTGTCTTTCTTTCTTGTTTTCTTTTTTCTTTCTTTCTTTCATTCTTGCTTTCTTTCTTTTTCTTTCTGTCATTCTCTATTTTCTTTCTATTTCTCTCACATTCTCTATCTCATTCACTCTCACTTTCATCCGTCTCTGCCTCTCTCACACTTTATTTCTTTCTCTTTTAATTTGCTTTTTCGCTCTTTTTTTGTATCTCTCTCTCTGTCTCCCTGTCTTTCTTTCTTTCTCTCTTTCTCTCTGTCTTTTCTTTCTTTCTGCCTCTCTCTGTATCTCTCTCTCTGTCTCCCTGTCTTTCTTTCTTTCTCTCTTTCTCTTTGTCTTATTCTTTCTTTCTGCCTCTCTCTGTATCTCTCTTTCTTGTCTCTCTTATTCTTTTCCGTCCATCTCTCACTCTTTGAATGTCTTTCTCTGTCTCCCTCTCTTTCTTTCCTTCTCTCTCTCTTCTTTCTGTCTCTTTCTCTCTCTCCCTCTGTCTTTCTTTCTGCTGTCTCTCTTAATGTCTCATTTTCTTCTTTCCTTCTGTCTCTTATTCTCTTCCTTTTGGTCTCTTTCATTCTCTATGGCTTTATGTCTCTCTCTTTCACTGTCACTGTGTTTTTCTCTTTCTCTCATTCTCTTGTTCTTTCTGTCTTTCTTTGTTTCTCTTTCTCTCTGTCTCTCTCTTTCTTCTTTTCACGTTCTGTCTCTTTCTCTCCTGTTCTTTTTCTCTGCCTTTCTCGCTCTCTCTTTCTTGTCTCTCATTCTTTTCCATCAATCTCATTCTCTCTCCACCTCTGTCTCTCTCTCTCTCTCTCTCTCTCTCTCCCTTTTTGTCTTGCTGTGTTTCTCTGTGTCCCTCTCATTCTTCCTTTCTCCCTTTCTTCCTCATTTTCTCTCTGCCTCTAACTGTCTTTCTATTCTTTTCTGTCTCTCATTCTTTTCTGTCCATCTCTCATTGTATCTCTCTCTCCCACTCTTTAAATCTCCCTCTTTCTCTCTCTGTCTCTCTCTCTTTCCTGTCTTTTTTCTGTTCATCTCTCATTCTGTCTCTCTCTCCCACTCTTTGTATCTCTCTCTCTCTGTCTCTCTCTCTCTCTCTCTCTCTCTCTCTCTGCAGTATGGGTTACTGTATTCTGGTGGTCCATGGAGTGAACAGGCTGTGTGCCGTGGTGGGCCGCTGGGGTGCGGCTGCCCTCACCGTCTCCATGCTGCTGCTGCTCCTCCTCTTCTCCTGGAAGACTGTGCAGCAGAACGAGATCTGGCTGTCCCGCGAGGCTCTGTTCAGGTGAGCGTGTGACTGAAATATTGAGAGAGCTTTCGATTGATGTCAGTTTCTTTATCTTTCTCAAGGTTAGAACAGCACTGGAATAAAAAGTTCTATGTGTGAAATCTTTTTGCTTTTTGCTGCAGTATTTGAATCAGAGTTCTCAGGTTCTCTGTGCACGACGAGGACTTTGATATTTCCTGTTTTCTTTTGTTTCCCATTCTCTCAGTTCTGGCATTCAAACATTACCTCACAATGCTAAAGTTCACTACAACTATGCCAACTTCCTGAAGGACCGAGGACAAAACGAGCAGGCTATTCACCACTACAAAACAGCCCTCAGGTTAGCGCATGTGACTGTGTTTGTTTTGGACAGAGAAGTCTGTGGAGAGCCCTCAGGGCCATGTAGACCTTCAGAGAAGACCTAATGATTTGTGAGAACTAAAAAATACATGTTGGTAATTTTATTTCATTTATTTCATTCAGTTTTACGCTGACAAATAATAAGCCAACTTCAGCCCTGTAAAAATTCAGACGTGAAATAATATTTAGTACTGTTTTAGCCGGGCCCACGGGGCTGCTGTTAGAAATTGTGTTTTTGCTGTTTTGTTAGTCAGATTTGATTGTTAAAAGTGGTTCTCATTAAAAAGTTTAAGCCTTTGGTTCACTACACGACTTTTAAAGTCTTAACAGATTATAAACAGACTGGGCATCTCACTACCCGACTGGATTTTTTGGGGTAAAATATTGGGGTCACACACTAAACGATTAGGCATCACACACTACTCAACTTGTAAGCTGCTGCTGAACCGAACGGAGCTCACTGAACTTGCGCAAACTCTCGCAAATTAACACTAACTCTTGCGTTCTCCCATTACCAGGAGACGCAAATAAACAAACGTGGAGTGGCTTGCTGCTGCAGGTAAACAAGTGAGGGTCATGGGTTTAAAAACGTGATCAGTTTGGTATTTTTTAGAGTTTTAAATGTACATAAACCCGATTGTGCTCGTGCTTTAAACTCAGCTCATTACACAGCTTCACTCCACACGTGAGAGACTTTTCGCCATTTTTTTTTGTTCACTTGCTGTATTTTCTTCTTTTGCACTGCCAGTTTTCATTGGCTGTTGCAGGAGTTCATTCAGATTTGAGTCGTTGACCAGTTTGCACTAGATTACACTCAGAATCGGGTCGAAAAAATCAAACGTCTGATAACTCAGACTGGTCTGAAATGTGTTCGGGAGGCCGAAAATCTGAGTCTGCGCCTCTCGCACACTACTTGATTGTCTCTGCAACTGTCGACTCAGACTTACCCAAAGATCTGCAGACTAGAGCTGACCAGCACAGCACACCAGAAAAGTCGTGTAATGTAACCCTGGCTTTTTAAAGGCATCAGATTTCCGTTTTAATCTAGAACAGCCGAAAATGAAGTGTTCCCTTACTGCTAACACACAATTAGACATCACATGGGGGGCTAGTAGAAATGAGCATTATGTTGTGTTATATTTTATTATATAAATTATATAAAAAATATATCACTGCTGTCAAAAGAAAACCTTGTATCTCCATTTTTGTCATTTTTCAGTTTTTGACATAATTTGAAAATGCCTGTTGTCCTTTACATTGTCTGTAAATTTCATGATGAATGGACTGAAAGAAACGGCCCAAAATTACTTTGAAAAAATTCTGGTTCCATTGACTTACATTAAAAATAATGTGTGTGTATGTTTGTGTGTGTGTGTGTGTGTGTGTGTGTGTGTGTGTCTCAGTACTACAGCATAGGTCTCACCAGCAGAGCAGCACAGCCTGGGGCAGTCATAGGTTAAGTGCTTTGCCCAAGGGCCCAAACAAGGATACCCAGCCAGTCCTTGACTGTGTTTTGATATGTATGATTCGGACTGAAAGCCTGTCTCTAATAGTCACTGTTTGCTGCTGATACAACTAGACCAATACCAAGCGCTGTCACAGGTCATAGGCATAGCTTTAGGCTTATAGCGTGCTTTAACAGTCTGAATACCCTTCGTCCTTTCAGAAAACGTGAAACTACAAATGAAAGTGAGAACATCCTGAAAGTATCCTTACTCTGATTCTTATTTTCATTTTTCTGGAGCTTTTTCTCTCTCTCTCTCTCTCTCTCTCCCTGACCACGTCTGATGTTTGCATGCTTGAAAGGGTCCTCTCGTCACGCGCGTCACTGTGGAATCTGCATGCACGCAGTGCTGTGTGTGTTATTTGATGGCTCTAGTGAGAGCTGACGCTGCCTGGCTCAGAGCCTGTAAGCCTGCCGTTCTCTCAGAGCTCTGAGCTCAGCCTAATGAAGTCTCTATAGACCCTCCACTGTGATCCCCATCACTGTCACAGCTGCTGAGACCAGAACCGTCTGTGCTGCATAGTAGTTATGTTCATTGTCTTTGTTGTTCTTTGTTTCTTCTCTCTCTCTCTCTCTCTCTCTCTCTCTCTCCCTCCCTCTCCCTCCCTCTCTCTCTCTGTAGACTTTATCCTCGGCATGCCAGTGCCATGAATAACCTGGGCACACTGACTCACAGCACAGAGGAGGCAGAAGTCTACTACAGGAAAGCTCTCGACATCAACCCCCAACACAACCGAGCGCTCTTCAACCTGGGCAACCTTCTCAAGTACACACGCTTTTGTGCATCATTATAGCTTCTATTCTTCTTATGACAATAGTGTGATAATAGCGTGATAATAGTGATGATGGTGATGAGATGTTGTTGATGATGGTGTTGCTGTGCAGGTCCCAGGGGAAGGAGGAGGAGGCAGAGCGAATGCTAAAGGAATCAATACGCTTTGGGCCGCAGTTTGCTGACGCCTACTCAAGTTTAGCCTCTCTCTATGCTGACCAGGTCTCTCTCTCTCTCTCTCCCTCCCTCCTCCCTCTCTCTCTCTCTCTCTCACTCTCTCACTCTCTCTCTTTCTCTCTCTCTCTCTCAGTGTAGTTCATTTGAACAGTGTTTCTTGGCATGAATGTAATAAGATAGATTATTGCCAAAGCTGTTAACAGTAAACATGTAAACACAAATAAGAGAAATACAGACAAATTGCAGAACACTGGAACTTATTTAAGGGATTATTAGTGATCAGTAAAGGAAAAGACTTATCTCTCTTTCTTGCTCTCTCTCTCTCTCTATCTATCTATCTATCTTATTTTTTCCCTAACCTTATCTCTTATACTCTCTCTTTCTCTTTTCTTCTTCTTCTCCATTTCTCTCTGCCCCTCCCGTTTCTTTTAATCTCTCCCCCTCCATCTCTCTCTCCCTCTCTCTCTCCCCCTCTCTCTCTTTCTTAATCTTTCTTTCTCTTTCTCTCTTTTTCTTCTTCTTCCACCCCATTTTCTCTCAATCTTTCTTTTTCTCTCTCTCCTTATCTCTTGTACTCTTGTATTCTTTTTCTTCCTCCTCATTTCTCTCTCCTCTCCCCCTCCGTCTCTCTCTTCCTCTTTCTCTCTCCCCCTCCCTCTCTCTTTCTTAATCTTCCTTTTCTCTCTCTCCTTGTCTCTTGTACCCTCTCTCTTTTTCTTTTTCTTCCTCCCCATTTCCCTCTCTCTTTTTTCTTCTTCTTCATCCCCATCTCTCTCTCTCTTTTTTCTTCTTCTTCTTCCCCATCTCTCTCTCTTTTTTCTTTTTCCTCCCTATCTCTCTCTCTTTTTTTCTTCTTCTTTCTCCCCATCTCTGTCTCTTTCTCTTTTTCTTCTTCTTCCTCCCCATCTTTCTCTTTCTCTCCTTTCTCTCTCTCTCTTTCTTCTTCTTCCTCCCCATATCTGTCTCTCTCTCTCTCTCTCTCTCTCTCTCCATATATATATATATATTCTCCCACAGCTTCATTTTCTTCCTTTTCTGTTTCTCTGTCCAGCTCTATTTGTAGGTCACTGTTTTAATGTTTTTCTGTTTCATATATCACTCCTGTGTGTTTGCATTGCGCCTGGTAGTCTCTGCCCAGACAGAGTTTATTATTTTTAGTCCTGTTCTGTCAGTTCTATTTCCTCAGCCATTAGTCCAACAATAGAAGCGACCTTTCTGAAGCGTGTGAATGTATTTTGTTGCAGAAGCGGTTAGCAGAAGCAAATGAGATTTACACAAAGGGCATTGAGAACTGCCCAGACAGTTCAGACCTCCACAACAACTACGGCGTGTTTCTGGTGGACACGGGTCAGTGGCACATCTCTTACATCATCTCACAGCACTCACGGTACTGCCGCAGTTGTCTCTGTGTAGTGCTGCACTACGTCAAACAGCATTTATGCATTTATAGTGTGTCTCAATGCTGAACTAATGTGTGTTTGATTGTGTAATACTATAAAAATATTATATAAAGTGTACAACCTCATTTCCAAAAAAGTTGGGACATTATGCAAAATGTAAATGAAAACTGAATGCAATAATAAACAAATCATTTAAACCCTATATTTAATTGAAAATAGTACAAAGACATATCATCAAAACATATCAAATGTTTAAACTGAGAAATGTTATTGTTTTTTGAAAAATATGTGACCATTTTAAATTTGATGCCAGCAACACGTTTCAAAAATGTTGGGACAGGAGCGTGTTTACCACTGTGTAGCATCGCCTTTTCTTTTAGCAACACTCTGTAAGCATTTGGGAACTGAGGAGACCAATTGCTGTAATTCTGAAAGTGAAATGATTTCCCATTCTTGCTTGATATAGGATTTCAGCTGCTCAACAGTTCGGGGTCTCCTGTATCGTATTTTTAATTTCATAATGCGCCAAATATTTTCGATGGGTGACAGGTCTGGACGGCAGCCAGGCCAGTTTAGCACCAGGACATTTTTACTACAGAGCCATGCTGTTGTAATGCGTGCAGAATGTGGTTTGACATTGTCTTGCTGAAGTAATCAAGGCCTTCCCTGAAAAAGACGTCGTCTGGATGGCAGCATATGTTGCTCCAAAGCCTGTATTTATTGTTTATCATTAATGGTGCCTTCACAGATGTGCCAGTCACCCATGCCATATGCAGTAATGCACCCCTGTGTCATCACAGATTCTGGCTTTTTGAACTGATAACAAGCTGGGTGGTCTTCAGCCTGGAGGACACAGTGTCCATGATTTCCAAAAAGAATTCCAAATCTCCGGACTACAGGACACTTTTCCGCTTCAGCTCAGTCCATCTTGAATGAGCTCAGGCCCAGAGAAGGTGGCGGCGTTTCTGTATCTTGTTTTTATATGCTTTCTTCTTTGCGTTTTACAGTTTTAACTTACATTTGTGGATGCAGTGATGAACTGTTTTCACAGACAGTGGTTTTCAGAAGTGTCCCTGAGTCATGTCTGTTTTTAATGCAGTGCTGCCTGAGGGCCCAAAGATCACAGCCAGCCAATATTGTTTTTCGGCCTTGTCCCTTGCGGACAGAGATTTCACTGGATTCTCTAAATCTTTTTTCTCTTCATGATATTATGTACAGTAGATGATGAAACACTCCAAGTTCTTTGTTATTTTAAGCTGAGAAACATTATTCTTGAACTGTTGCACTATTTGCTTACACAGTCTTTCACTGAGTGGTGAACCAATCATCTTCACTTCTGAAAGACTCAATCATATTACTGACCTTTGGTTTTTTTAGCATTACAGAACTTTACCAGTCCTTTGTTGCAGTGTCCTAAATTTTTTTAAACGTATTGCTGGCATCAAATTCAAAATGGGCAAATATTTTTCAAAAATGAACTAAATTTCTCAGTTTCAACATTTGATATGTTATCTTTGTACTATTTTCAATTAAATACATTTAATGATTTGCACATCATTTCATTCTGTTTTTATTTACATTTTGCACAGCGTCCCAACTTTTGGAAATGGGGTTGTGTTTTTACATGTTTATATGACACTAAGTGACTATCACTTACTGTTTATCTCACTCTCTCTCTCTTTCTCAGGTGATAGCGATGGAGCTGCCGTACATTACCAGCACGCTGTGCGTCTGAAGCCGTCTCACTATGTTGCCATGGTGAATCTTGCCCGTCTGCTGCGCTCCTCGAACGGCAGTACGGAGGCTGAGCTGTGGTATAAGCGGTAAGCTGATGAACTACAGCCCTCTTAGCAGCTCACAGTGTCAGTAATGTTCAGGTCTAAATTCAGTTCGCATCACTGCTGAACTGGAAACTTCTCAGCACGGCCCCATATTTAAGCCTGTGTGTGTGTGTGTGTGTATGCAGGGCACTGCAGGTGGTGCGTAAGGTGGATATCCTGACTCCTCTGGGAGCGCTGTATTATAACACCGGCCGATATGAAGAGGCTCTGCAGCTGTACCGAGAGGCCGCCTCGCTGCAGCCGGAGAACCCGGACATCTGGCTGGCTCTGGTGAGACGCGTTTCAGTCCTGCGCTGCCCGGCGCTTTAAAGATTTTCTTTTGGTTTTGAAAAACATCCCTGTCAGCACTGTTGAACAGAGATTATTTGATTTACATCGATCCCAAATGCCGACGTTATAAAACGTGTTATTTGATGTTATGTGAGTTGACGGTGGTGGGGAATTCCTCGAGTGGTGTGTTTTTGTGGGCAAAAACAAATAGGCATCATCATTAAAGCTGTGTGCCCGCAGAGCCGTGTGGCTCAGAGCCTGAACGCCTGGCATTCTCTCAGCTCTGAGCTCAGCCTAATGAAGCCTCCATAGACCCTCCACTGTGATCCCCATCACTGTCACAGCCGCTGAGACCAAAACCAGCTAAGCTGCCTGGTGCACAAAAAATGACGTGTATTTTTTTTTCTCTCTGTTGCTGTTTTTTCTTCTTCTCTCATTCTTTTTTTCTGTCTCTTTTCTTTTTCTTTTCCTTGCTCTCTTCCCCCCTCGCTCTCTGTCTTTTTCTACCTTCCCTCTCTTTCTGTTTCTCTCACGCTTTTTCTTTGTCTTCTCTCTCTCATGTGCTTTCACTTGTGCACTTTCTCTCTTGCACTCTATCTCTCTCGCTCCCTTTCTCTCTTGCACTCTATCTCCCTCTCTTTTCAATCTCTTGCACTCTCTTTCCCTTGCCTCTCTTACTCTCACCCTCTCTCTCTCTCTTGGCCTTCTTTTCCACCCCTCCTCTCTCTCTCCCTGCCCCATCCCTTTCTCTCCCTGTCACACTCTCTCCCTCCTTGTCTCTCTCTCTGTCTCTGTCTTCCTCCCCTCTCTCTTTCTCCCTCTCTCTCTCCCCCACTGTCTCCCTCTTTCTCTTTTGTAATCCCATTCTCTCTCTCTTTTTCTGTCTCTCTCTGTCTCCCTCTATCTTCCTCTCTCTCCCTGTCTCTCTCTCTCTCTGTTTTCCATCTCCCTCTCTTTCTCAATCTCTTGCACTCTCTTTCCCTCACCTCTCTTTCTCTCGCTTGCTCTCTCTGTCTGTTGCACCCTCTCTCTCACCCATCTCTTTCTCTCCCTCTGTCACTCTCTTTCTCCTTTTCTCTTTCTCTCTCTCTTTCTTCCTGCCCCATCTTTCTCCTTCCCGTTTGTATATTTCTCTCTTTCTATCCTCTCTCTCTCTCTGTCTCCCTCTCTCTCTCCGCGGCTCGTCTTTCTTTCTCCCTCACCTCTTTCTCTCACTTGCTCTCTCTGTCTATTGCATTGTCTCTCACTCTATCTTTTGCACCCTCTCTCTCTCCCTGCCCCCATCTCTTTCTCTCCCTCTGTCACTCTCTCTCTCCTTCTGTCCCCTTTATGTGTGTGTCTCTCTCTCGATCCCTCTCTCTCTCTGTGTCTCTCTATCACCTTGCTCGTCTCTTTCTTACTCCCTCCCTCTCTCTCTCTCTCTCTCTCTCTCTCTCTCTCCCTTTCTCTGTCTCCCTTGTTCTCTTTTTCTCTGTCTCTGTCTCTGTCTCTCTTTCTCTCTCTCTCTATCTCTCTCTCTCTCAGGCTCAGGTTCTGGCTATGGCAGGCCGCTCTAAAGAAGCAGAGAAAATGACTCTGGGCATCATTTCCAAAAGCAGCGGCTGCATAGAGTGTTATCGCCTGCTGTCTGCCATCTACAGCAAACGAGGGAACCACACCAAGGTGTGTGTGTGTGTGTGTGTGTGTGTGTGTGTGTGTGTGTGCTTTTCTGAGCTAAATGGTGCATGCACACACGCTCATTTAAACACCTTGAATCAATTAATATCCACTTAGTCTTTAACCGTTTATGGTTCCTGTCATTTAAAGTAAATGGGGAATTGTGCTTCGCTCGGGTTTAGGGGGGTTCTGCTCTCCCTGAGGCAGGAACGAATTATTCACCACTCCTCTCTTTTTTTAAATCTTACAAAGGAACATTAAGCAATAAATTGTTTGATTACTGTGACTGCATCCATACAGACACTCTTTCAGAGAGAAAAGACCCTCTTAATGGAGTGAGACTCTAACAGAGCGGATGAGAAATTGTATTTTATTGTGTGTCTGTGCGTTTCAGGCGTTGGAGGCTTTGGATAAAGCGCTGCAGCAGGAGCCAGCAGACCCTGCAGTGAAGGCGGAGCTTCTCTTCTCCATAGGCAACCAGCTCCGAGAGATGAATGAGCTAGACCGAGCCTTTGAGGTGCCTTCACCCTTCGCTTTCTACCTCTCCTCTTTCACACACCTTTTTTCTGCTTTTTCCTCCCTCTGTTCGCTACTTCAGTCTTTTTTCTTGCCTGCTTCCTTTTGCATCTCCTCCACTTTCTTTACCAGACAGTCAAAGTCTCTCTTTGTTGTCTACTATGAACACACTTGTTCTCTTTCACCTTAGGGTACAAGGCAAACAGTAAGACCCAATCCCATTTCACCCCTCGCCCCTACCACTTAGCCCTTACCCCTCTGTTTTGCGTGTTTCACGTCTAGGGGTAGGGGTTCCCGATTTTTGTTGAGACAGAGGAGTAGGGCAAAGTGTTAGGGCTACACGGCCCTCCAAACAGAGGTTTTTCAGAGACTCCAAACAGAGTGTTGTCAGAATAAAAGAAACACCGGCAAAATGGCAGAGCAAGCGCCCTAAGAAACCCACAAATATGAGAATTTCCCCTGTTAAGAATGTTTGATAACCATTGTATTATCTTAGTTTAATGTCGTTTCAATGTATTCTGGTCCTTTTCTTCATAACAAGCATAAAAAATCACTAATAGTATGCTAATGCCTTGGTAGCTAGCTAGCTAAACTTCCCGTTCCACCTTAAATAGTCCAGCAGTTCTGACACCTGAAGCTCCAGAATATGACTGCTGCTCCATTTAAGGTGGAACGGGAAAAATCGAACAAGAAGCTGGCGAATAGCTGACTTCAGCTTCATATCACTGAAGAATTAGGGGTGGGCGATAATAAATAATTACCCCCCCCTTTGAAGACATATGATGCCCTAAATGTAACTAAAGCCCAGCAGTGAGGAGCTGAACTTTACCCTCCTCTGCTGTCACTGCAGACTGGCAGGGTCGCCTACAGAGCAGCGCTAGTAGCTGTTAATGAAGTAATGCTCTCTTTATTTGAGTGTTGTTCCATTCCGTAGGGGAAGATTTCAACTACTGTCACTTGTAACTCAATTCCAAGAGGCAGTGACACTAGGAAACAAGGGGTAGGGAAAAAATAAGAAATGGGATTGGGCCTAAGAAAGGATTTTATGAAAGAAAAGAAGAGCCTTTGCTCAAGAGTAGCTCAAAGCCTGCCTTCACAAACAAGCACGACAGAATTCCTATGCAGTGAGGGGTAGTTCATATGAGAGAGAGAGAGAGAGAGCGAGCGAGCGAGCAGCCACTTCAAACAGACATCCTCTTCTTGATGTCTCCTTCATTCCGATAAACAACACTGAAATAACCACACTCTCCTCTTATCTCCGCACACAAACACTCTTCCTTTTAGCAGAGCTCACTCCGGTGGATGCTTTAATTGTCCTCTGTTTACTTTCTTCTACCAGCTCTGGCCTGATAGTCTGATCACAAACGTTTCCTGTAAACACAGCTCGTTTGACTGTTCTCTTCGGCTCTGGACGCACGCCAGCTCTCTCGCTGTTCTAGGCCTCTGGTCCATGTATTGTTTTGACTGGTTTCAGGTTCACTTGACAATTAAGACATATTCGATCCCGTTAGGCAGCTCCAGGCTCAGGACAAAAGCCTAAGCAATGCAGAGATACTGTGTATTATGATACCACCATTGTGGGGGCATTAAGTTTGTGAAATGAGGTTCCGGCGTTCATTCTGATCATGAAGATATTATATTTCTAAAAGCACTGAAGGGTTTATAAAGGCAAACATTGGATGCTGTTTTGTGCCAGTAGTGTTACTGAGCTAAAACTGGCAGCAGTAGTGATGCGTTTTTCTCCACAGAACTACAAGCTCGCTGTTGCCCTCAAGCCTGACCAATCACAAGCTTGGATGAACATGGGGGGGATCCAGCATATAAAGGTACGACTACTTTGCATAGCTTGTCTTCAAACAGCATGGGTGCTTTCCTGGTCACAGGAGAGCAATCAGTGCTGACTTGTGTATAAAAAAGTCGTTTTTGTGCCCAGACTCATTAAAGCAATTATGTTTACACAATCTTCTCCTTATACCGTAATGTAGTCGATTAGACAGGATAGATTTGGTGTCCGAAATTTGCTTCTTTATTTATGGAGCTACTGAATGAAACAGACTTGTATGTGTGGTTTCTGACACTGTTCACACAAAATGCTGCAACATAACTGCTACTACTGTTGTTAACTATGTGATGTATAGGGCTGAACACTGGACCTCAATACCTCTGCAATGCCAGACTTTCTTCAGTACCAGAGAGTTTTGAGTTGGATGTCGTTCAGTTAGAGGTTGGCAGTGTGGCCAAAATATAATATTGCAGTACTTTAAGAAATTTTCTCAATATGTGATGTCATAATATCCATTTTTTCAAACATCTAATTAGTTTTAACGGGAAAAAAAGAACCAGCAGTGCTATATTTAAAAAAAATATTCAAAATATCAAAAACCGTGCGCACAATGATTTTATTCAGTATTTGGCAAACTGTATAGCACTAAATCCAGTTAAACAGAACTAATTTTGCTCCCTTTATAATGAAACATGCAGTTGGTCAGTGTCTACAAGTACTGACGATATGCACAATATGTTCCGAAAAGCATATTATATTGTGACAGTTTATCACAATAACAGTATATGTTGTATTTCCCAGCCCTACATTCAGTACCTAAAAATTTGATGTTGTTCAGTACCAAATTTCAATATCTACTCATTATTATCAACATTAGTGAGCCAATAAGCTTTCTTGTTCCAAAATCTAGCAAGTTCACAAGCTCCATGTTATTAGGTTAAATTTGAGCGCTTAAAGGGCCCATTTCCTATATTTTTCTTGCATTTTATTATTATTCCTGTGGTCCAATTATGATATTTTTGCACATCTATGTACCAGAAACATACTGATTTTCCAAGCTCTCTTTTTTCCCTTTTAAAAACAGACTGTTGTGTAGGTCATGTGTTACATATGTCATATGTAAATAACCTCTATTCTGACTGGCCACCCTGTATTGCGCCTTGAAAAGCAGATCAGGTAGAAACACTCCTTATAACTTCAGTGTGAATGGGCAGGGCTAAACTGCTGTAGGCTAAATAGGTCGATATATATAAATGTGCTATAGACTGCAAATAATATTGCAACTATTGTGAACTGAAACTTGCACTCTTTAAGATTGTGATCTCAATATAAAAACCATTCATCTTTCAGCCCTATTTCCAGCACCTAACTCATTTCTGATTTAAGCCACACCCACTTTTGGTGGTTAATTTAAAATAAAATAATGGACTCGTGTCAAAGTCATGGTATTGATTATGAAAAAACCAATACTCGGCCCAAGTGATGTATGTCCGTCCAAGTCTTATCTGAGATTAAAGGGCTTATATGATAAAAAAAGCTTAGTTTTGAATTAGGCTGTTTCACAAACCAGGATTTTTCAGTTTAGCCAGATCACTTAAGCCCAAAGTCAAGCCTGTCCAATAGAAAACAAGCTGAAGCACATTCTTATTGGACAGTCCTCATCTTTGGGTTTAAGTTGTCTGGCTAACTGAGAAATCCTGCTTTGTGAAATACCCCACTGGCTGCTTTTTTAATGAGGCACAACACGGGGTAGCCGGTCAGAAAAGAGGTAATTCACTAGGATCAGTCTTAAAGGCACAGTAACAAAAACAGGCATTTAGTGTGTGCAGTGCAGTTCAGTGTAGATAAGCTTGCCTTGCTTTAGCTTCATTAGCTATAAGACTCCAAACCAAAGGTAAACAAGAAAACCTTGGACACCAAACATGTCTTTCCAGATCGACTGCATTAGTCATTGAGGATAAAATGTGGAAATCAGATAATTGGATGAACCATCACACTGTGCTTTGCCTGGGAGGACCTTTCCTGTTCAGGCTTTAAAGGGCCCATTTCCTTGAAAACTGAAACCTTGGTTTTTTATGATATAGTATGTAAACATTGTGAAAATTTCAAACTGCATGATCACAACCCAATTCATACAGTCCATATATGGACATTAAAGCCTGTTTTAAATTTAGTGTTTCTGTGATGTCATGAAAACCAACACATTTACATATATCTGCCTGTTCGGCCTGCAGCAGTTTAGCCCCGCCCATTCACACTGATGTTATAAAGAGTGTTTCAGACTGGACTGCTTTTTGAATGAGGCACAATACATGACAGCCAATCAGAGCAGAGATCATTTACACACAGTGGGTTTTAAAGGCACAGTAACAAAAACTCTAAGGAATAAAAGGAGGGCATGTGAAAATTAATTGAGTGTTTTGTTACATAAACATGCACAAATGTCATAAGTAGATGACAAAATACAAGAAAAGTGCAGGATATGGATCCTTTAACACCTACTCACACATTCTGAACTCTTTCAGGGAGACTATGCAGCAGCCAGAATGTACTACCAAAGAGCTCTCCTCCTCTCTCCTGGCTCCAAACTGCTGAAGGAGAACCTGGCCAAGCTGGACAGGCTGGAGAAGAAACTGCAGGGGACTTAAATGGCCAGGCTGGCTCTGGACCTCCAATCAAAGATCCAACAGACAGAGATACGTACAATAACCTGGTGGGTATAAATAGACCGCGAACTGACAGAGATACTAGACTGGGGAGGTGGCTGCCTTAAAAGCCTCCGTCGCAATCAATGGTGCCACAGTATCTGTGACCCGAGATGGCCCGAGCCTAGAGACTGATGTGTGGGCTGATGTTAAGGACCAACCCTGCTGATGCAGGTCAGCGTCAATACCGCAGCAGAGGGGGTTGCATCATATTGAGCACCACTGACTCGTCTGAAGGCTCAGCCTCCTCCAGCCTGTCTGAGCTTGATCTGCTCTCTGATCAGAGGCAAAGGACTTTTAATGAGTGCCCCCCGTCGAGAGGGATTTGATTAATCATCGTCGATTTATGCAGAAGAGCAGATCCCTGAGAGGCTCTTGGCTCTAACTCGCTGTACTCTCAGACGCACTGTAGGAGCTATCCTCCAAATCTCCAGCTCCTCTCAGCTTCAGTGACTGCAAATCTCACGACAGGAGCTACAGGAGATGCTCTCCAACTGTGTTCTGTGAACATGGCCACATTCTTCATTCGATGCAGTAGGATCCGCAGGAGAGGGAGTGCTTTTGGCTGTGTTTTGCTTGTTTGTGTGATTTTTTTTTTTTTTTAATGTGTGACGTTACGAGTGACTTTCAATTGTACATAAATTGGCTCAGTGTAAAAGAAAAAGAAACAACAGGGTCATTTTTTCTGCTAGAGCAGGGGTCGGCAAACTGAATGTTAAGAAGAGCCATTTTGTCCTTTCAAATCAAACCACCTTGGGAGCCACAACATTTTATGTCCATTTTACCATCTTGGCTGTAAATATGTCTCAGTGTGTGTTAATGTCCTAGTATAAAAAAAGTTCTATAAATGAAAACACAGACCTGCTTTGCTCTGCTTTAAGCTTTAGCTCAGCTATAGCCACTTTTTGCATCTCCGGCAGGAACCTTTTCCACAAAAGTAGAATAGTTTCTTGTAAAATGTCTCCCAACGTTCGACGTTTTACGAGGCTGAAGTCGCTTCTCTTTCACTTGCTTCTTGTTCGAATTTTCCCCTTCCACCTTAAATCATGCCTGAGGCGCAAGAATGTAACTGCTGCGCCATTTAAGGTTGAACGGGAGAATTCAAACAAGAAGCTGGTGAATGAGAAACTGACTTCAGCCTCATAAAAAGTCGGACATTGAGAGACATTTTACAGGAAACTATTCCACTTCTAAGGAAAAGTTTCCTGCTGGAGATGCGAGAAAAGCGGCTATATCTGCACTAAAGCTTAAAGCAGAGCAAAGTAAGTCTGCATTATCGTTTATATTACATTTTGAATGAGAAGCTGACCACAGCTCCACAACTTCTTAGTGTTTGACAATTTCTTGTTGCAGATTAAAACGTATCAGGAAACCAGCTGGAGTGATTATTAATTCAAATAAGTCCGTTCATCTCCAAATTATCAATGTTCATCTTAAATCTTTCTCTTTGTCTTTTCGTTAGCTACTAGCTAAGTGAGACTGTTATCTGCATTGCTATGGTGACCAGCAGTCTGTGCGCCAGCCTTCAGGGTTAAAGGGTGAATTAGCAGTTCTACATTAACTCCAGCGTTTAAGACCATTTATTGTTAAAACTGTGTTGAACGATCAGCAGAGCTTTATTTTACTGCAAAGGAGGATCATTTTATTATTACCTATAATTCTGCTGTGGAGCCGCAACAGGGCAGTAAAAGAGCCGCATGTTGCCGACCCCTTTGCTAGAGAGAGGAACGCCTCTCTCATGTGATTCATTTTAATTCGATTTTTTCTCTCTCTTTACTGTAAATGCTGTTCTCAATGTGAAACATCCAAAGGACTAAAGGCATATTGTAATGACCTGTGCAATGACTGGCATATCAAGCACTTCTGATTTTCCACCAGGTATATTGATGAGGATTGTGTAAATGAAGTTAAAAGACATCAAGATAAGCTTGAGATTCACCACCATAATACACATTTTAGCCATATTAATCATGACCATAATTCTATTCATGATTCTTATGCTGTCATAAAAGAAGCAGCTCTCACACAGTGCGTCACACGTCATTCCAGAAACCAATGTGAAATCATGCATCATTATTTAATAAAGAACATCCAACACAGAATGCCTCTTATTAAAGGTGTTATATGTGGCTCATATAGACTGTACTGAGTTTACTCTTTTAGGAGGAACAAGTGTACCTGTATTAATATGTACTCTAAAGCGCTATGTTGGAATGTTAAAGGGGAGGTCCTCTGATTTATTTAATATTTTGTCAATAATTAAATCGCTAAGATGTAAACAAAGCTGTTCAGAGTATTTGGTGGTGATAGGAACCAGATGTCTGAAGAGTTTTAAGCCACCAATAGACTAAGAAACTTCACTATTTCATGAGGCATCAGGCTGGTTAACCCTTGTGTGGTGTTGATGTGTTTTGTTACTCAGTGGTCTGGTGACCCACCACATTATTGTTTTTTAAATCAACACAGCCATAACAATTTATGTAAAAATACCAGATGTTTAAAATATCACAAGTGTCCAGCGTAGGGTTCTCCTTTAGCAGCTGTAGCCAGTCAGCAGCCTGTCCATGTTGTCCACCCTCACACACACACACACACACACACACACATACACACACACACACACACACACACACACTAACAGCAGGCCATGTAGGAGGAGAACACAGTGAAGGACACAGAACCTCCACACTTTTATTCCCCACAGGTTCACCCAACACCACATGTGTAATATAAATGTGTGGGGGGTGAACAGAGTGAAGACACTGAAAATGGGTTATTTTATATGTTCTTCACAGAAAATGAGCAAAGACCAAGAATCAGAGGTTGGAATAATAATAAATCGCATCATTTTTTCTTTTGGTAAACATTGAAAATGAGTCCCACAGACTAAACACCACACAAGGGTTAATTCATTGTAGTGTGGCGTACATGTATCTGTGTATGCATTATTTTATATATTTTGTAGTATATATTGTATGTTCTGTAAAATTCAATCTTTGGATTGTGAGTCAGAAAGTTTTGTAAGTAAAGTAAACAAAACACTAAGGCTACGTTCACATCACAAGCCTCGTTGCTCAAATTTGATTTTTTGCTCTAATCCGATCTCTCTGACATGATGGTTCACACTCATTTAGATAAGTGATTCAAATCTGTCATTGATGTGAACAAATCAGCGTCCTGAAATGACCCGCACGCGCACATCCTACTCAGTAAGGTCACATGAATGAATCACGTGCATCATCAGCACAAACTAACGAGCAGAACGAGCTTCGCTGAGAAGATAATTAACTCTGATCAGCTCTCAGCTTCATTATTAGAGTGAGACAAAGGCGAAAAGATTAGATGAGCTGCTTTTCCACTGTTCACAGGCTTTAACGTCTGTTCGGCGCTGCTGCCATGGTAACGCTGAATGATGGTGCATGCTCAGTGGAAAAAAAGCACATGAATTCTGATCTGAACATCACATTAAGGTCGCATGGCCACAAATCGGATTCGTATCCGATCTAGGACCGCATATGAAAGTGTCTCAGGTGGGATTTGAAAAGATCAGATCTGCGTGTCCACACAGCCCTGAAAACATCAGATCTGAGTCACATTAGGGCAAAAGATCGGATTTGTGCCACTTCAGCCTGGTAATGTGAACATAGCCTAAAAGCGCCTTCACAGAAATGGTTTTAAATACACTGTCTGATGTTTTGAGGTCAGACTTTGGCCTAAAACATATTTTTTTCAAATCTATTGGCCGAGAGGTACATGCAGGGTGTTGTAAGGCAAAATAGCCTCCAAAGAAATATTTTTTCTGATTTACCATCAGTTCACCATTAGGAACATGACATATAAAAACTCAGAAGACATCATGACTCCTGGTTCCTATCACCACCACTGTAAATGAAAAGGTTTCTCTACGATGCACCATTTCACATCACAGCACTCTGAACAGCTGTGAATTCCCCTTCAACTCTGAGAACCTGTTAAATAAATGATAAAATGAGAAAGCGAGATAATTACTCAGAGCTGGCAGGTGCTTTGTTTGTCCTGTAGAAGTGACAGTAGCGCTGCTGAGTAATCTGTTGCTTTGTAAATGCTGATGCTTCATTTAAAAGATGCTCGTTAATCCCTGTTTGATGTAGTTTAATTATTCATTACTAAAGCAGCCCACGTCTAAATAGATGCCCAATAGCACATTAACAAATTGCTGAAAATTTGTTTGTTATAATGAATAATGAATCCTCTCTGTTGAGGATTTGGTTCATTTAGAGTGCTGGAGGCCCATCGTGTGATGTTTTGCTGCCCCACTGTGGTGTGAAGAGGAATTTTCTACTATTTATAACCACAGACGTGACTCAGTGAGTCTGATGTGATTACAGGTGTTAAAGTCAGCATGAATTTGGACATCATGCGTTTTCCTTTTCTGTACTGTGATACATTTCCAAGTTAAATGCTGTATCTGGGGGGTCTCTGAGCTAGCTGAGTGTTTCGGGGGTGGGGTGTTGGGAAGATGGGGGTGAAACATGATGCTTTTGGTTAATATTATTTTTCCCAGCCTTCCAGTGCAGTGACGTAAACATCCATCCATCCATCATCTAAACCGCTTATCCTTCTGGGTCGCGGTGTGACGTAAACAAAAATCAGAAAATGTTTTAGGGGCGGGCAAAAGTCCTGTAAAAGATTATGGAAAAATATGAATTTTATTTTGTAGTTAATATATCATTTGAATCGTGTTTAATATGAGCGAAGACAGACTAACGCAGTATAAAAGCATAATAAACTGCAATAGACTTTATAGACTAAAGAAGCAAACTCAGACACTAATCATGTCGTCACTCATCAGCTACTTTTGGGACATGAGGAAAATTGTTTACTTTTTTTTTCACCAAACTGTAGATGTAAATTATTGTTCCTACTAGGTAGCACAAATAAATTATATTTTGGCAAGTGAAATCCTATTAAATCTAGTCGAAATAACTAATATTTGTCATTTTGAGATTGTTGTAGGAATATTATACGATTGTTCAACTAACTAGATTTCACTTACAGTTTTACATTTGACTTAGATTTTTAGATTTCACTTAGATTTGCACTGGAGCTACAGGACTGGTTTATCTTGGCTTAGTGACTATATGTGGATGTATACGTTTGATTTTTTCATGACTTATTGCTTTAATATGCATTTCCATTTATGTTTGTTGTCCTGCTTTTGTTCTCTGAACGTCTATTTTTTGGGTTTGCCCAACGACAGCAGCTCACAAGGCCTGCAGCAGCGTAACAAAGGAGCTCCATATTACCTTAGTGAAGCTGCGGACCCCCATTTCCAGAGGCCCAGTTCTTGGGGTGAGCACTGGGACGATATTTATCATTATTGTGATAAATGATGTCACATTACAACACAATAAGCTGTACTGAAGCTGAATGCAGCAGGTCAGCTCTAAGTACAAACATTATCAACAATATGCTCATAAAAAGTTTCTCTATGATGCACAATTTCACTTCACACCACTCTGAACAGCTGTGAATTCCCCTTTAACTCTGAGAGCCTGTTCATTCACAATAAAGCGAGATCATTACTCAGAGCTGGCAGGTGCTTTGTTTGTCCTGCAGAAGTGACAGTAGCGCTGCTGAGTAATCTGTTGCTTAATAAATGCTGATGCTTCATTTAAGAGATGCTTGTTAATCCCTGTTTGATGTCTAATTATTCATCATTAAAGCAACACACTTCCAAATAGATGCCCAATAGAACATTAACAAATTGCT